ACACCCACTGGGTCCAGGACTGGAACCACGGTCGACTACATGGGAGTTCAGTGACATAGCCATTACGCTAACTGCTGGTCCCAGAAAACTATACTTTCTTGGATCAGCCCGGTGGGTAGTCTAGTGGATAGGGGAGGCAGATCCCTCATAGCTACTACAGTCTGAATCCTGGCAGACTCCTGCCTACATGTGTCCAAAATCCCAAAAGGAGGGAGAAATGAGAAGCGGTTGAGGTGTGGCCATTTTCCATTGGGGGGCACTTTCTCACTTTCTCTCTGTCTCTTTCTGGCCAGCATACATGTCCTCTAGCAAATTTTTTTAAAAATTAAAAAAGGGGGGCCAGCAGGTGACATAGTGGTTATGACGCTGGACTCCCATGTGTGTGACAGCAGTTTGAGTCCCAGTCCCGGTGGCTTGAAACTCACATCAGGTGAGCGTGTGTGGGTGCCCAAAATCCAGAGAGAAGAATGGAGGAGAAGGCATTGAGGTGTAGCAATTCTCCCCGGGAGGTGATTTCTCCCTTTCTCTCTCTCTCTGTATCTGTCTCTGTGTCTTCAGTGAGCACATGTACACTGTAGCAAAAATCTCTCTAAACATAAATAAATACATAACAAGCAAACAGCCTCGTTCTGCTGGGGGCTATCTTCTGCCCATTTTATTCCACCACTGGACCTGCGCCAGGCCAGGAGAGCAGGGCAGACACCCTGCACTCTACCTAATCCCATGCTCTTTTTGTTACACTGCCCTGAAGTGGCCCTGTGGTCCTCTTGACTTCTCCTCCCATTTTTTTTTTTTTAAGGTTTCGAACGTACTTTATTTCTTCAATACTGCCATACTTTAATGGGTAGATAGTGCTTTTTCTTGGCATCGGTTTTAAGTTGGTTTTGAAACAATTCAGTATTATACCAGCTGGGATGACTACCAATCTCTCTATTCCTTTGGGGTGACTCTGCCAGCAGGGGACAGGTTCCATTCTATTCCAATTTGTGTTGCTGTATGCGTCCATACAGCAATACAGAAAGTGGCTCCACTAGCTAATACAGCATTACCATATTCGTCATGAAAATCTGGTGTCTGTTTCTGCTGGCTCAGCCTTGCCATTGTTTGCTGAATGCTTTTTTTTTTTTTTAGAAGTTTTTGCTATAGGGCATGTGCGCTCGCCAGACAGAGAGACAGAAAGCGAGAAATCACCCCCCAGGGGAGATGGCCATGCTGGAATCCCTTCTCTTCCATTCTCCTCTCGGGATCTTGGGCATGCACACACATGTGCCCAGCGTGAGTTTTAAGTCACCGGGTCCAGGACTCGAACCATGGTCGATTATGTGGGAGTCCAGCGACATAGCCATTACGCTAACTGCTGGTCCCCTGAATGCTTTGAACTTGGAGAGGACTCAGTGCATTTTGGCCAAGGGAAACATTGTGAGGCTGAAGATAGAATTGCAGCAACTGCAGCTCTGGGGTCGTTGCAAATTCGAGGTAGGTATGCTTCCAAGGAGCCCTGAAAAACAAAATCCCCATTTTTTTAAAAGTTTGTTTATTTTAAAAAGAATTATTAATTCAATATTTTTTTGAGAGAGAGATTATTGCTGTAGGGCATGTGTGCTCACTGGAGAGACAGAGGGAGACAGACAGACAGACAGACAGACAGAAAATGAGAAATCACCCCCTGGGGGATGGCCATGCTTCAATCTCCCTTCTCCTCCATTCTCCTCTCAGGATTTTTGGTACACATGCACATGTGCCCAGAGTGAGTTTGTTTTGTTTTGTTTTGTTTTAGAGAGATTTTTGCTATAGGGCGTGTGTGCTCATCAGAGAGACAGAAAGAGACAGAAAGTGTAAAATCACCTCCCGAGGGGATGGCTGCACTGCAATCCTTTCTCCTCCATTCTGCTCTCAGAATTTGAGGCACACACCCACATGTGACTGGTGTGAGTTTTTTAAGCCACTAGGTCTGGGACTTGAACCACGGTTGACGATGTAGAAGTCCAGCAACGTTATCATTACACTATCTGCTGGTCCCAACCCAGCATGAGTTTTAAGCCACTGGGTCTGGGACTCGAACCACAGTCAACTGTGTGGGAGTCTAGTGAGATAATCATTGTACCATCTGTTGGTCCTATATTTTAAAATTTGCTATTGGGCATGTGTGCTCAGCGGAGAGAGAGGGAGAGAGGGAGAACGTGCAAACTGCCAGGTCCAGGACTTGAACCTTGGTTAGCCATGTGGGAGTCCAGCACGTTATCTACCACCACCTGCTGGCCCCTCTCCCATCTTTCCTTGGCTCTTGAGCTCCCTATATTGGGCAAACTTACTGACAAGTGTTGATACACATAGACCAGTGAGGAGACGTGTCAACACTGGGATGGAAGAGTGGAAATAAGGAACCTTATGCTATTAAGAGTGGACATAATTCATGTATGGGCCATGGAGCTTCATGGCGTTCTTGCTATGTGCTCCTGCACCAGTGTAAGATGAGGACACAAGTATAGAGGTGTCAAGGTGAATCTGTCTGGCCTGAGTAGGTGTCATGATGTTTGCATGTCCTCAATCCTTTAGCAAGTTCTATGAAATATTACTCCTTTGGGCCAGCAGAGGGTTACATCGCTCGACTCCCACATGGCCAACCACAGTTCTATTCTCAGACCCAGTGGCTTGAAACTCACGCTGGGCATGTGTGCATGCATGCCCAGTATCCTGGGGAGTGAATCGAGGAGAAGGAATTGCCGCATGGCCATCCTCCCGGGGGGGGGGTGATTTCTCACTTTCCCTCTCACTGTCTCTGTCTCACTCTGGCGAGGGCACACACCCTAGGGCAAAACTGTCTAAAATGTATTGATAGATATACAGACACATATATATACACTCCTGTCTTCCAGTCCTGCTGTACTGTCAGACCGTCTTTGTGTACAACAGCCACAGTGATCTATCAGAGACTTCAGTCTTATGTTAACCGGCCCAACCACCAGCGCTTAACAAGCAATACCCTTCGGAAGGAGACAAAGTTCAACATGGCTCCCAGGGCTTTGTGTGGGCGCCTCGTTCTCCTGCTGTATGGCTTACTTTAAAAAAAAAAATAATTATTTAATTTTTAATTTATTCATTCATTTTATTTTAATTTGACCAGAAAGAGACACACACATACAGAGAGAGAGAGAGAAAGTGAGAAAGCAAGCTGCCAGTTCTGGAGCTTGAACAGTGGTCAGCCATATGCGAGTGTCCAGCACCCTAACCACCATGCCACCTGCTGGTCCCCTATATGGCTTACTTTTAGCCTCTTCTTCCCGCTATTTCAGCTCCACTGACCTTCTCTTAGTCCCTAATACTCACCATCTTCCTTCTGCCACAGGGCCTTTGCATATACTCTCTCTGCCAAGTGCATTTCTGTTGGCCCCTGTGCCTAGTAAACGCCTACTAATCCTTTAGATTCAGTTCAAATGTTATCACTCTCTAAGTCACATTTTCTCTGTATTTCTGTTGTTGTTTTGGAGTGATTTTTGTTATAGGGCACGTATTCTCATTGGAGAGACAGAGAGAGACCGAGAGACAGAAAGTGAGAAATCCCCCCCGGGGGGGGGCGATGGCCACTCCACAGGCCATTCTCCATTCTCCTCTTGGCATCTGGGGCACTCCTTCACACACACCTGGCATGGGTTTTAAGTCGCTGGGTCTGGGACTCAAACCGCAGTCAACTATGTGGGAGTCTATTGACATAAAGACTATCCCATCTGCTGGTCCCCTCACTGTGCTTTTTTAAAATTATTCTTTTTATTCTTTTTAAATTCATGATAAAGCACATATGTGTACACATTAGAGTGAAAGGGGGACCAGCAGATGGCATCATGGTTATGTCGCTGAACTCTCACATGATCAATCATGGCTCATGTTCTGGACTCGGAGGCTTGAAACTCACACCGGGTACATGTGCATGTGTGCCCAAAATCCAGAGGGGAGAATGGAGGAGAAGGGATTGCGGTGTGACCATCCCCTCTGGGGGGTGATTTCTTGCTTTCTGTCTCTCTGTCTCTGGCAGGCACATGCACCCTATAGCAAAAATCTCTCTTAAAAAAATAATAAAAGAAAGAAAGAAACAGAGTTAGAGAGAGGAATACCCTAGTATTCCTAGTATTACTAGTCATACTGAATCCCCTTCCTCCATTCCTCCAGCCTATCAGATCTTGGGCACTCCCACACATATTCAGTGTGTTTCAGGAGGACCATGCTGGGGACTTGAACCACTGTGTAGACTCCAACCTTTTTATTTTATTTTATTTTTTTTAGTTTGCTGTAGGGGATGCCTATTCACCAGTGAGACATAGCCATAGAAAGTGAGAAATCACCTTCCAGGAAGGATGTCCATGCCACAATCTGTTCTCTTCCCCCCCACTCTCCTCTTGAGATTTTGGGCATAGATTTTGGGCACGTGTGCTGCGTGTTTTTTAAGCTGCAGGTCTGGGATGCAAATCATGAAACCAACCATGTGGAACCTGACTGCCTTAACCTCCACGCACCTGCTGGCCCTGGGCTGCAGCTTTCCTTGAGCAGCACATTACCAGGGTGCCATGGAGCAGGCCCCTCACTGGACATTCTTACGGCACCGCTTACATTTTCTTCAAATCACTAAATGAAGTCTAGTCCACGAAGGCAGGGACGTGTCTCCTTGGGACCACCAATCCCCAGTTCTGAGCGTACTGCCAGTCTTCTAGAGGAGATTGGAAAATCTCTGTGAAATGTGTGAGCTAATGAACAACCAAAACCCAGTGACTCTTCTGGCTTGGTTTTTTTTTTTTTTTTTTTTCTTTTCTTTTTTTTCCTGAAAGGGTTCCCAAGCTATTTAGAAAATAGGAGAGGGAGGAAACCACCATAATAATGGCTGCTGGCCAGAGTGTCAAAGTGGCAGCGGTCTCCAGGCTGCATTCTAGAGGCCTCCCCACTCCCGCTCACCTCACAGAGCTCTTCCAGAAGGGCCAAGAAGAGCCACTGCCATGAAAGCCCATGGCCTGCCTTTGGCAACCAAAGAGAGCAGGGGACATGGAAAGGTAAAGAAAGGACTGGCCAGCAGCACAGCAGTTAAGTACTGTGCATTTGAAGCCAGATCCCACATGACCAACCACGGTTCAAATTCCGACCTGGTAGCTTGAATGTCAGGTGTGTGTGCGTGCGTGTGTTCCCCAAATCCTGATGGGGTGGAGAAATGTATTTAAAAAATGACTATGGCATGAGCCCATTGAAGGGTGATTTATTTCTCTCTCTCTTTCTCTGTCTAGTTAGCACGCATGCCCTCTGGAAAGGAAAAGAAAAGAGAAGGAATGAGTGTTTACTGAGAAAGGACTGTGTCCCAGACTCCATGTTTTATACATATCACCTCATTTCACTCTCCCAACCCGTTCTGCAGGTGAGAATACAGACTCAAAGAGGTTGTGAGACGGGGCTAGGAACAGTAAACCAATGCGGGGTAAAGCTGAGTTTGCACTCAGATCTATCCGCTGTCCTTAAAAGCCTGGGCCTTTCCATACTCCCGCCCTGACTTCCAGTCCTCATGTACCTCCCCCATCCTGTTAATTTAGGGCCTGTAATTCCATCTTTTTTTTGGAGAGGTTTTTGCTATAGGGCGCGTGCGCTCGCCAGACAGACAGAGACATAGAGACAGAAAGCGAGAAATGGCCTGCCAGGGGGGGTGGTCACGCCACAATCCCTTCTCCTCCATTCTCCTCTTGGGATCTTGGGCACGCATGCACACGCGCCCGGCGTGAGTTTAAGCCACTGGGTCCGGGACGCGAACCGTGGTCAACTATGTGGGAGTCCAGCGACATAGCCATTACGCTAACTGCTGGTTCCCTGTAATGCCATCTTTAAAGATCATTCAGCTCTTCTTTTCTGGCTGCTGGCTGTGAGTGTCTCTCTGGCGGTGCCAGCACCCTTGCCTTGTGCTCCCCGCCATGTCTCGGAAAATTGAGGAAATCAAAGACTTTTTGCTAACGGCCTGACGAAAGGACGCCAAATCTGTCAAGATCAAGAAAAATGAGGATAATGTGAAGTTTAAAGTTCGATGCAGCAGATACCTTTACACCTTGGTCGTCACAGACAAAGAGAAGGCAGAAAAGCTGAAGCAGTCCCTGCCCCTACGTTTGGCAGTGAAGGAGCTAAAATGAGCCAGACGCTGTTTGAGCTACATTAAACATTTTTTAATTCAAAAAAAAAAAAAATCATCCATTAGCCTTTCTTAAAGGTCTCTTTTAGGTCAGTGTAAAATGGGGATATCTATATATTAGAAACATCAGGGCCAGCAGGTGGTGTGGCAGTTAAGTCACTAGACGCCCACATGGCTGACCACAGTTCGAGTCCCAGACCTGATGGCCTGAAACTCATGCAGGGTAAGTGTGTGTGCCCAAAATCCCAGGAGGAGAATGGAGGAGAAGGGATTGTGATGTGGCCATCTCCTCTGGTGGGTGATTTCTCGCTTTCCCTCTCACTGTCTCTCTCTGGTGAGTGCATGCATCCTATGGCAAAAACCTTAAAAAAAAAAAAAAAAAAAGGAAGGAAGGAAGGATGAAAGGAAGAAACTCAGCATCAAAGGCAACTACTATGAGACATAAAAAGAAGTGTAACAAAAATTGGAGTGTGGAAAGTAAAAGGGATGACGGACTTAGTATGAATCAGTTATTTTTTTCATCCTTTATATTTATTTATTTATTTTTGAGAGATTATTGCTATAGGATGCATGTGCTCACCGGAAACAGAGAGAGAGACAGAAAGCAAGAAATCACAAACAGGGATTGACAAGGATTAGTAATTCTAGACATACTTGCATTCTAAAGGAGGGTGGTGGTGTTTGTTTAGTCTTTTGTAACAAATATTTGTAAACTTTTTTTATAGAACACGTAATTTTAAAAAAATGAACAGCGCAGAGGAAAAATGAAAAGATTCTCTTCCCTTATAGGTAACCCCACCCTCCTCTAGAATGCAAGTCTAGAAGGACTAATCCTTGTCACCTGAGTGTCAGTTGGGTCTGCACTGTTCCCTCAGTGTCTGGAAGGACCTGAACGGGAAGAGGATCGTGTGATAACAAATATGGCTTCCCAAGCAGGTGCTTCTGGGGAGTGCATATAAATCAAACTTTGAGAAACTTGCCTCTACTGGCACGAAGGGCCCACCGGCTGGTAGCAGTTCACATTCAGACACACCCAGACACAAGGCAGCACTGGTCCTACGAGGGCCATAGATAACCACCCTCCAGCTCCATCCAGCTGCCTGGACTCGGTCCCCAGCAGTGCAAACTCCTGAGCAGGAATCCCTGCTGGCCAGGGCCTCTGCTGCTACAGGATCTGTCCGACCACAGCTTCTCAGGGCCCAAAGTGGGTCTAGGCCCAGGAAGGTAGGATGCAGAGAGATCAGCTGAGAATGACTCAGGTTCTATTCCAGAGCTAGCCAGAGAACACGGACCAGAGTCCACACCCTTGGGAACCTAAGGGCCCCTTCTTCCTCCCAGGCATGGCAGCCTCTTGACCTTTGCTCATCTGCAGTTTATGTCACTGTGGGCCTCAGCAGCTGCAGAAGAGGAGGCTGGGACACAGCTCTGGAGTGCCACTTGCTGGCTGGCAGAGAGGATCCAACAGGCTGGCATTCCTAGTATGGGACAAAAGCCTATCGATCTTTGACCCCTGCCCCTCCCAGAGAGCCCTGGCCCTCCTCCTGCCTACCTTTCCTCCCAGCTGGCCTCTCCTCTGTTCTCACTTCCCTCTGTGCTCTTGTTCTGACAGGCAGTTTTTCCCAGCCCCTTGCTGAGGCCAATTTTTCCATGCTGTCTTCAAGTCCTACTTCCTGCACATCCCCCAACCCGGACAGGGAGAACTCAAGCAAGAAGGTCCACTGGGCTTCTGGGAGGAGGAGGACATCATCCACAGACTCAGAGTCCAAGCCGTCCAGGTCCCGGAGACCCAGCCGGCTGACGGTGAAGTATGACCGGGGACAACTGCAGCGCTGGCTGGAGATGGAGCAGTGGGTGGATGCTCAGGTTCAGGAGCTCTTCCAGGTGGGTAGCATGGAGGAGGCGGGGGGAGGTAGGGAGCCTGGGGTCGGCCAGGGGACTGAGGGAGAGCCTGCTGAGAGACCTCAGTGTTCCTCTGCAGAGAAGTGTGGAGAAAGCCTTGCCCACGGGGTGGGGAGGAGCGTGGGCTGGGAGTCCAGAAATCTGCCTCTGTCTGGTCTCGGTTGTGCCTCTGACTCTCTCTGGGGAAGGTCCTTTAACATCCCCAACACTCGGTTTTCTAATCTGTAGATGGGACTATCGATACCTGTCAGATAGCTGTAAGTCCTGTCATATATCAGGACTCGCTGAGGCGCAAATGAGATAGTTGAAAGGAAAACGCTTGGTCAGGCTATTACGCTTTATTTGCTTTCATCTTCAAGATAACACATCTCTAGAACTACACTGCCGAGTACTAGAGCGATCAGCCACGTGTTCAACGTGAAATGAGCTAAAATGAAATAAAATGTAAAAATCAGCTCCCAGTCACACTAACCATGTTTTGAGTGCCAGCGGCACCCATCAGCACAGGTGTAGGACAGTCCCACCTTGGCAGGACAGCAGGGACTGGTTCAAGTACCCACGTTGATAACAGGGGCTGGCCTGGCTTTTTTTTTTTTTTTTTTAAGCTTATTATTTTTTATTTCCTTCTTGAGCAAGTGGGAGACAGAGACAAAGAGACAGTGCCCCCAACCGGGCCCTGAAGTGGCAATCCATCCCCAACCTCTGCCAGCCCTGGATCGTGGGTGTGCACAGTGTGTGCGATGTACTCAGGGAGGTCGCCAAGGCGAACCCAGAACCCATGTGGATCGGCCTCACAGAGCCCTGTATTGTATTGCTCTGCCTCTGTCTAGTCCTCTGCCTGAGCTCTGAACCTGGCTCTCATGGACTCCCCCCAACCCCATCCTGGGAAAAAGCAGGCCTTGACCCTGGCCCCTGGAAGTGGCACTTTCTTACAGATACCGTAAATGTAGATCCTAGAGTGGTTAACAGCTGCTGCTCTAACACTGAGGATTCCTTTGAGCCCTCACTGCACTGGGCACAATAGCCAGCACTGATGCCCGGTGCTTTGTCTTCTTCTCCCCGCGACACCATTGAGTAGGGACTGTTCGCAGCTGCAGATTGGAGGCTCAGAGAAGTTGAGGAACTTGCCCCAGGTCACACAGCGAGGAAGCGTGGGGCCAGGAGCTGCCCTTGAGTTCTGGCTGGAGAGGGTGGGCACTCATTTGAGCAGCCAGAAGTTCCCCACACCTGAAATACTTTTAAGAAAACCCATGGGACCAGCACATAGTAATGTGCTATGTTGCTGGACTCCCATGTAGTTGACCGCTGTTCAAGTCCTGGACTCAGCGGCTTAAACTCACGCCGGGCGCGTGTGTGTGCGTGCCCAAGATTCTGAGAGGAAAATGGAGGAGAAGGGATGGTGGCATGGCCATCCCCCTTGGGGGGTGATTTTTTGCTTTCTGTCTCTCTATTTCTCTCTGTTTTTCTGGCGACACCACACGCTCTATAGCAAAACAAAACAAAACTAAACTAAACAAAACTAAACAACTCTCCCCCCAAAGAAAAGAAAACCTCAGTGTCACCTCAACAGAATTTAAATCTACTTGTGTGAGACCCAGGCTTTGACCATTCTATTTTAAAAATTATTATTGGGAACCAGCCGTTAGCATAATGGCTATGTCACTGGACTCCCACATAGTCGACCGCGGTTCGCGTCCCGGACCTGGTGGCTTAAAACTCACGCCGGGCGCGTGTGCGTGCATGCCCAAGATCCCGAGAGGAGAATGGAGGAGAAGGGATTGCGGCGTGACCATCCCCTCTGGGGGGTGATTTCTTGCTTTCTGTCTCTATGTCTCTCTCTGTCTGTCTGGCGACGCACGCGCCCTATAGTAAAAACCTCTCCAGAAAAAATTATTATTATTATTATTTTTGTAGAGAGAGATTTTTGCTCTAGGGCATGTGTGCTAGCGAGAGAAACAGAGAGAGGCAGAGAGACAGAAGTGAGAAATCACCTCCCTGGGGGGTGGCCATTCTGGAAACTCTCCTCCATTCTCCTTTTGAGATTCTGGGTACGGTTGCACACGTACCCGGTGTGAGTTTAAGCCACCAGGTATACAACTCTAACCTCAGTCAACCACATGGGAGTGCAGTGACACGCATTACACCATCTGCTTGTCTCTTATTATTGTTATTTTTAAAGATTTTTGGCTTTTATTTTTTATTTTATTTATCTTTATTGCCAGAGGGTGTGTGCACTGCCCAGAGAAAGAGAGAGACTGAGAGGGAGAGGGAGAGAGCACCTACCAGCAGGATAAGGTCATGCTGCAATCCTCTTCCTCCATTTCTCCACCCCGTCGGGATTTGGAGCACACAAGCACACATGCCAGTGTGACTTTCAAGTCTCCAGAGCCAGAATGAACTGTAGTCTGCCCTGTAGCTTCCAGCTCCATGTGCTTTGGGCTCTGGGGCTAGCCCATTGGGCATTTTTTTTTCCTAAGAATTTTTTTTTAATTTAACTTTATTTATTTATTTATTTTAGTTTGACCAAAGAGGGACAGAGTGAGACAGAGAGAGAGAGAGAGAGAGAGAGAGAGAGAGAGAGAGCTGCTAGATCTAGAACTAGCAACACCGTCAGTCGAACCACAGTCAGTCATGTGGGAGTCCAGCGCCCTTAACCACCATGCCACCTGCTGGCCCCCCATTGGGCATTTTAAATAAATAAGTTGTGCAGTTGGCTCTAATGTGTGGCTGGGCTGAACCACTGCTGAGCCAGAGTACTAGGGCCCCTCGTGTCCACAACACATGGTCCTTGTTTCTTCTCTGATTTGACACAGTCCCTCTTCAACTTGGGGCAGCAAAGGCCGGTGGTTCTAGAGAGTAAGGGCTGTCATTGGTCCTGCGGTGGGGGGGCGGGGAGATGGTAGACGTGGTCCAGGCTACCTTCAAGCTCCCTGGGCCGTGTGTCAGTGTGGTCCAGGTGTGGCCCACGGCCCTGCAGTATCTTGAGCCCACTCAGTGGTGGGCGGGGAGGTGCCCTGGAGCTGGGAACAGGAGAGGCAAGCTTTCTCGGCCCGTGTCAGCTCTGCTGGGGCAGGACGCCTCCACTGCACTTCACTACTTCCGGCACTCTCCTCTGGACCTATTTCCATTTGGACTGTTTGTTGTGCACTTGCATGAGAAGTCTCATATTTTAGATACCCCAGCTCAAATCCCACCAGGCATCAGGGTAGCCAACAAACTTTGTTCTGTAAGATGAAGGTGGAGGGGGGTAAGCTGCACACCTGTAACATCAGAAAACAGTACCTGTGGGAGGACCGCTCCCAGGCAATGACTGGAATAAAATGCCTGGCCTGTGGTCACCATGGCAATTGTCCAAAGGTGCCAGGTGGCAGCTCCTGTCCCAATCCCTGCTGTTTTCAGCAAGTTAGGTGGCTGGGAAAATCCCGTGGCGGCCGTAGTGAGCAGAGGTCAAGGCAGCAGTCTCCAGCCTGGTCCTTCTAGTTCTGCCCTCCTGAAGCCCGGCCCCACCACCGGGGCTCTACATGCCCTGTACCGTTTTGGATGGCACTGCTGGGGAGGGCCCTCGGGTCGCCTCACTTAGCTCGTTTAGTTTAACGGGCCCCAGCCTTCCTTTGGTGGAGGGCCCTACTTTTCCCTTGAGGCACCGCCTGGTTGGGGGTCTCCAGAGAAACTGCCTGGGGATACGGACAGACTTGGGGTCCTGGGGCTCTTGGAATCCAGAAGTAACGATGGCTTAGACTTCTCAGCAGGATTTAAACACCCATAAGTGTCTCCTTTTTTTAGGAGACCCTCATTCAACAACGCAGTCCTTCTAGTTACCATCTCTGTTTCTCTTCTCCTAGCCAGAATCCTTAAAACATTTGCCTAGGGGACCAGCAGTTAGCGTAATGGCTATGTCACTGGACTCCCACGTAGTTGACTGCGGTTCGTGTCCCAGACTCGGTGGCTTAAAACTCACGCTGGGCATGTGTGCGTGCGTACCCAGGATCCCGAGAGGAGAATGGAGGAGAAGGGATTGCAGCATGACCATCCCCCCTGGGGGGTGATTTCTCGCTTTCTGTCTCTCTGTCTCTCTCTGTCTGGCGAGCACATGCGCCCTATAGCGAAAACCTCTCCAAATAACAAGACAAAACAAAACAAAACAAAAAACACAAAAAAAATTTGTCCACACACACTGCCTTGGACTTAGGTTTTCTCTTTCTGTCTCCACTCAACCCGCTTAAGTCTGACTTCTTTTTTTTTTTTATTTTTTTAAAGAGTTATTTTATTTATTTTAAAATTTGACTAGAGAGAGACAGACACAGAGGTAAAAAGGGAAAGTAAGCTACCAGGTCTGGGACTCAAACTGCACTCAGCCATGTGGGAGTCCAGCGCCTTAACCACCATGCTACCTGCTGGTCCTCTGGTTTCTGCTCTTACCAGTCTGTTGAAAGCACTGATCAAGGTCACCACTAACCTGTCCTGGGGCTAAATCTAATGTACACATCTGTCGCGTACACTGTTGACCACTCCAGAGTTTTTTTTTGGGGGGGGTGGTGGTGGTGGTGAAAGGTTTTTGCTATAGAGCATGTGTGCTCGCCAGACAGACAGGGAGAGACAGAGAGACAGAAAGCGAGAAATCACCCCCCAGGGGGGGATGGCCATGCTGCAATCCCTTCTCCTCCATTCTCCTCTCGGGATCTTGGGCACACACTCACACACGCCCGGAATGAGTTTTAAGCCACCATGTCTGGGACTCGAACCACCGTTGACTACATGGGAGTCCAGCGACATAGCCATTACTCTAACTGCTGGTCCCGACCCCAGAGTTTTGACACATTCTTTCTCTGTAGCTTCCAGGACACTGTCTTTTCCTGGCAGCAGCTGGCATTTTGGTGCAGTCTTTTTGATGTGGTGACATTTCAAGAAAAGCTCAATTTTCAACTTAAAAAAAATTATCGTTGGGCCAGCTGGTGGCAAGGTGGTTAAGGGGGCTGGGGGCTGGATTCCATATGGTCAACAGCATAGTTTGAGTCCTAGACTTGGCGGTTTGGAAAAATGCACCTGGTGCATGTGTATGTATGTCCAAAATCCCAACAGAATGGAGGAGAAGGGATGACCATCCCCTCAGGGGGTGATTTCTCCCTTTCCCTCTTTCTTTTTCTCTGATGAGTGCGTGAACCTATAGCAAAAACTAAAAAAAAAAAAAAAAAGTATTGTCTTGGGCAGCACCAGGTAAAATGCACTGGTGAGGTGCCAGATTCCAAAGTTCGAATCGCTGAAACATACGTACAAGTACCCAAGATTTAATAGGCTGGAGTACTGGAGGAAGAGGAACGCAGTGTGACCACCCTGTGGAGGGCACCCCTCTCTCTCTGTTTCATGTGTGTGCATGCACTCTTTCATGAAGTGAAAAAAAACGTATTGCCAATGAATGTATGAAACAAACATTGATTGGTTTATCTGAGGCCTTGGTGGTCTCCATGGTGGAGAGATTGGGAGTACAGGGTATCGGTCTAGAGTGAACGGAAGAAAGGGGGTCAAATCAGGCAGCATCTGGCAGAAAACCAGCACATGTGATATACCATCACGCACTCCTCACTTGTACATCTTAGGAGTTGTTTTATGTACCTGCTTCTTTTCTTTTTCCAAAAATGTATTGTTGTTATTATTTTAATTTGCTATAGGGCACACACACTCACCAGAGACAGAAAGTGAGAAAGCAAGCTGCCAGGTCTGGGACTCGAACTGTGGTCTGCCATGTGGGAGTCCACTATGTCACCTGCTGGCCCCACTTCTTTTCTGAGAATTCAAGCTATCCTTGAGTGGAAGAATTTTTTTTTTAATTTTTATTTATTCATTCATTTATTTTTATTTGACCAGAGAGAGAGAGAGACAGAGAAAGAGAGGGAAAGTGAGAAAGCAAACCACCAGGTCAAGGACTCAAACTGTGGTTGGCCATGTGGGAGTGTCCAGTGCCTTAACCACCATGCCACCTGCTGGCCCCAAGCAGAATATTTAGACTACGATGTGTACCATCATATTTTTTTTCCCACTGCATTAATATCTCCCCTCACCCTGATTTGAAAAATAAGACAGAGAGGCCCTACAGGTGGTATGGTGGTTAAGGGTGCTGGACACCCACATGGCCAACCATGGCTTGAGTCTCGGACCTGGCAGCTTGTGTTCTCACACTCTCTTTCTCTGTCCCTCTCTGGTCAACTTAAAATAAATGAACAAATAAAATAATTATTTTAAAAAATGAGACAGAAGGATTGCACACAAGCAAGTGTGGGAGCAGGAAAGAGAGACAGAGTCAGGTACAATGGACAGAGCCTTGCCATTGTGATCCTCAGCCCCAGTCTCCCAGTGAGCAAGAATCCGGGCACATTGTGCCTGCTCTGTCCAGGCTGGTCTGGGGACGGAAGCTGGACCTCCCATGTGGCCCGAACCTTGCACAGGGCATTCTACCGCTTGTACCACCATGGCTGGGCCGGGTCTATCTTCTGTAAATATTTTCTCCCAGTGTGTGGTTTATCTCATTCTCTTAAGCTTCTTTCATTTTTACTTTTACACTCTGTATTATTTTTTTCAGTGACTATAAGTTGTTTTTTTCATTTTAATTTTATTTATTGGTTTATTTATTTTTTGTTATAGGGCATGTGCTCACTGGAGCCAGAGAGCGAGATAGGGAGAAATCACCCCTCAGGTGGGACGGCCATGCCACAATCCCTTCTTTTCTTCCTGGGATTGTGAGCGCGCACACACACACACACACACACACACACACACCTGGCATGATGTCAAGCCTCTTGGTCTGGACTCAAACCGCATAGTCAGCCATGTGGGATCCCGCTGCCTTAACCTCCATGCCACCTGCTGGCTCCTTCAGTGACTATAACTTTCCCAAACAGTTTCCTTTTAATTACTCACATACCATACAACTCAAAGTGTACAATTTAATGGTTTTAGTATCTTCCACAGGATTGTCCAAGCGTCACCACAATTTAACTTTTCTAAAAGAACGATTTATTTAATTTTACTTATTATTATTATTGCTTTTAATTTGTTATATGGAACATGTAAGAGAGAGACAGAGAGAGAAAGCAAAATGCCAGATCTGGAACTTGAACCATGGTTGGCCATGTGGGAGCCCAGCGTCATAACCACCACGCCCCCTGCTGGCTCCACAATCTAATTTTAGAACACTGTATCCCCCAATAGGAATGCCAAATCACTCTGGCTCCAGTTCTCAGCACTACTCCTCCAAACCCCAGGCCACCACTAACCTACTTTCTGTCTCTACAAATTTGCCTATTCTGGACATTTCATACTAAGTGAATCGTAGTCTAGGCTTCTGTGCCTACTTTCGCTGATGTGCTTTCAAGGTTAATTCATGTCGCAGTATGAATCAGCCGTTACTTTTTGTTGTCAATATTGTATGACTTTGCCAGTTTGTTTATCCATTCATCAGTTGGTGGACATTTGTGTTGTTTTTACTTTTTGGCCATTATGAATGATGCTGCTATGAACATTTCTGTGCAAATTTTTGCGTAGACTTTTGTTTTCATTTCTCTTGGGAACAGACCTGGGAGTGGAATTGCTGGGTCAGATGCTAATTTTGTATTGGACATTTTGAGGAACTGCCAAACTGGTTTCCAAATCAACAGTACCATTTTACATTCCTGTCAACAATGTATAAGTTTTTTTTTTAATTGAACTTTATTTATTTTTAATTTGACCAGAGAGGGACAGAGTGAGAGAGAAAGGGAAAGTGAGAAAGCAGGCCACCAGATCTGGGACTCAAACTACGGTTGACCATGTGGGGAGTCCAGCACCCTGAACTACCATGCCACCTGCTGGCCCCAACAATGTGTAAGTTTTACTAATGGGAATCTGTGCTCACGGGAGAGAGACAAAGAGAGGAAAAGTGAAAAAACATGCCCCAATGGAGATAGCCACATGACAATCCCTTCTTCTTTCTGGGTTTTGGGCACACATGCAGAAGTACTTGGTGTGATTTTCAAATTGCTAGGTTTGGGATTTGAACCATGCAATCAACCGCATGGGATCCGCCATGCCACCAGCTGGCCTAGCTATGTATATAACTTTTTATGTTACACATGGAGACTCATTTTATTATTTATTTTTAATTGCCAGAGCCAGAGAAAGAGAGAGAGAGAGAGGGAGAGAGAGGGAGAGAGAAAGCATCCCCCAGTGCCACAATCCCTTCTCCATTTCCCCACGTCACGATTTGGAGCATGCACACACTTGTGCCGTTGGCTTTTCAAGCTGAAGAGGCCAAGACTTCGACTATGGTTGGCCATTTGGGATCTGACCCTCTTACCCACTAGGCTATGGATGAGCTCATGGACACTCCTCCTTTTTACAAAGAATTATTTAATTTTGAGATTACTTTTTCAACTTGACCAGACAGAGACTGAGAGAAAGAGAGGGAGAAGTGAAAAAGCAAGCTGCCAGGTCCAGGACTCAAACTGTGGTGTCCACGTGGGAGTCCAGCACCTTAACCACACCACCTGCTGGCCAGGACGCTCTTTTTAAGAAACCTAGCACTGTTTCAGGCGATGCATAGTGGGTGCTTAACAGATGTTTATTGAATGAAGAAAATGAATGGGTGTTCTGAGACAGGTGAGAGGGGCTGAACATGGAAAATGAGAGGGAAATGGGATGGGAGATGGGTCAAGCCTTAACAGTAACCTTCACCCCAGCACCAGCTGGTCAAGCCCCTCTGAGCCCCATGTGATTCCCAAATAGGATCAGCCAGTCCCTTCTGAGCCTGAGATTGACCTGGAAGCTCTCATGGAACTATCCACAGAGGAGCAGAAGTCTCAGTTGGAGGTAGGAGCAGGGCTGGGCTCCAAGTCCAGGGGCTGGGGCTGGAAGCTTGGCTTGGAACAAGGGGAACCTAGGAACCTACCGTCTGCCTCCTTGGGGAGAGAATCAATTCAGAGGGGAAAATTGCTGGGCAACTGAGTGGGGGTTTATGGGCAAGTGCTGTGGCTTGAGGATCCACCCTCCCCTCTCTTCTACCCAGGCCATTCTCCGAGACTGCTCTCGCCCCACAGAGGTAAGAGGTGTGCTGCTGGGGGTCGGGGGAAGACGGTGGTGGTCGTAGTGATGAAGTGGCCCAGTTGGGGAAGCAGCTAACAAAGAGGAGTATTTGAGAGGAAGGGAGGCCCTGGTCCTTTTCCCTCCTAGCTTAGAGTGAGGGAGTATTAGGGAGGGCAGCATGTGAGGTGGGACGCAGTGCCTTGATCTGACTCCTGTTGCTCCTCCAGCCTTTTATCTCTGAACTTCTCAGCCAACTCAAGAAACTCCGGAGACTCAGCCGGCCTCAGAAATAAACTCAGAGAGACTTACCTTTAGCAGCGTCAGCTCTGCTGGGCCTGCCCTGAACCTCTGGATCCTGCCTGAGGGGGAAACGGCTTCTGGGGACACAGACGAGGAACGTGGAGGACAAGAGGGACTTCTGGACAGCCCCAGTATATGTGCAGTCACAGCTAGTTCCCACAGCTGGACTGCAGGAGCCGGTCATGGCTGTGCTCAGTGCTTCCCTCGACAGCCAAGCGGATAAAACCCATAGAAGCTGCGGCTGAATGAAGTGTGGAGCCTGTGTGTGCTGAGGGACGGGGTGGGGCAGGATGCACCGCAAGGCTTACATCCTCAGTTGCCAGGCTGTACCCACGTACCTCACTCACCCCTCCATCCAAACAGGCCTCAAGAATTCAAAGATGGCCTCAGCAATACTTCAGAGAGAGCACATCTAGCAAGGCCCAGAGGTCAAGCTGAGGGCATCTGGCTAAGACACAGCATGCTGCATCACCAAGAAGGGTCTGAGTGGGAAGACTAGTTTCAAATCCCAGAGGGAGGGTAACAGGAAAAACCTAGCTGGACGTGCATCAGAGAAGCTAAATCCTGCTCTATTAATGACTGATGCAGGAGGCCTTGGGCTGAGGACTCTCCTGGGTTTGCACCAGTCTGTGCAGGCAGGAAGAAAGCACACGAAGCAGGAGTGTGACCGTTCAGGCTGAGGCTGGATGGGGTTGGGGGCGGTGCTGGAAGACAGATACCAGGTCTGAATGGCAGGCAGTTGGGATGGGTGTCCTGGCAGCGGTCCTTTGGGAGGAAGGCAGGAAGCGGAATGTGTGCATTGATCCCGCAGGCACCGAGTACAGGAGAGGCTAGAAATCCAGGCTGGTGGGGCCTGGTGGCTCAGCAGGCTGCCCAGAGCAGGAAGCACACAGCTCAGCTGACTGGATATTCATGCCTATGTCTGAGGCCACCAGGATGGGCGGGACTGTACCTGCCTGGAGAAGCTTACGAGATGTCTCAACCTTTCCCCTCATTCCACACGATTGTGCTTATGGCCTGCTCTCTCGCCACCACTCACGGGGCCAGGTTCCAGGCACGCAGGGCTCTAAAGATAAGAGAAGCTGGGCCTAGTGAATCCACATACTTTATTAGATCCACTCAGTGCCAGGGAGGGCCCTGGGCCCTTGCACCAGGGTCCATGTTCACCCTTACATCTGCCCTGGCCTTTCCCCATCATGCCTCTCCCTTCTGGCCCAGACTTCTGGTCGGTGGGCCTCTACTTTCCCTTTTCTCTGGCTCCTCCAGTCACTGAGTTGAGTGGGGAATCTTTCCTCCTTCCATGAACACTGAGGCCAGGAAGGGGCGTGCCCATCATCGGCAGAGCCTGACGTGCTCTCCATCAGAGGCCGAGGCTGGGCCCAGAGGTGGGGACTCCGCCTGTGGGATGCCTGCAGGACAGCCTTCGCAGGAGCAGGGTCTCCTCAGTGCTCTCGGCCTGCACGTGGCGGCTTGTAGGCAGATATCTGGTGCTCTTTGAGTTCAAAGGCATCATGGCCTTCTCTGTGGAGAAGAGGGATGGAAATCAGGGATCCCAGGTGGCCCACGAGCCCTCCCAGTCCTACAGAACTCGCTCCCGCACCCACCGGAAGCAGCGGGCACAGTAGAGGTCTCCGTCGCAGCCAGTGCAGCGCAGTGTGGCATCCTCATTGCAGATGCAACACCAGGGGAGCTCCTCTTCCTCAGCCTCAGGTCTGGGGGCCGTGGCCTTCAGGGACAGGGGGAATGGGGAAGAAAGGATCCCGGTTGGGTATGGTTGTTGTGGGAACAGTCAGGCCGGGAAGAAGGCTGTGGCGGCCTGGGCATCTTCTCTCACCTCAGGTTCTGCCCTGCAGGGGTGGGCCTGGGCTCGAGGGGCCGGCTCCACGGGGATGTTATAGCCACTGGCCTCATCCAGGGCAGCTTCTTCAGTGAGCTGTGGACAGGGTGGGAAGCGGTACTACCCCTGCTCCAGGCCCAGCCCACCCTCTCCCAGTATTCCTGTGCTCTGTGGCCTCAGCTGCTTAACATCTTTTTTTTTTTTTAAAGAGATTTTTGCTATAGGGCACATATGCTTACTAGAGAGACAGAGAGAGAGAGAGACAGAGACAGAAAGTGAGAAATCTCCCACTAGGGAGGATGACCACGCTGCAATCCCTTCTCCATTTTCCTCTCAGGATTTTGGGTATGCATGCACATGTACCCAGTATGTTTTTTTTTTTCTGTTTGTTTGTTTTAAGAATGATTTTGTTTAACTTTATTTATTTATTTTAATTTGATCAGAGAAGGACAGAGAGAGAAAGTGAGAAAGCAAGTCACCAGGCCCAGGACTTGAACCACCACCGGCCATGTAGGAGTCCAGGCACCCTTAACCACCATGTCACCTGCTGGCCCCTCACCCCCAGCATGAATTTTAAGCTGCCAGACCCGGGACTTGGACCACGGTGGACTACATGGGAGTCCAGTGATGTAACTATTATGCCATCTGCTGGTCCCACTCATCTTTCTTTCTTTCTTTCTTTTTTTTAATTATTTTATTTAACTTTATTTATTTACTTTTGACTTGATGAGAGAGAGAGAGAAAGTGAGAAGCAATCTGCCAGGTCCAGGATGTGAACCGTGGTCGCCATGTGGGAGTCCAGTGCCCTTAACCACCATGCCAACTGCTGGCTCCCCCTCTCATGTTTCTTTACCTGTTACCTATGGCTGCTGATTTCCCACCTCAAGGGGCCCGAGGGCAGATCTGGATCACAGAGACAGTGCAGCCCCTACTGAACAGGGGGCACAGGGACTGCCCACCAGCCCCAGAGTAGAGGGGGGAATGGTGGGGCAGAGGCAAGACAAGGCAGGCCAGGGCCCACCTGCTGCAGGACTCTCTGGATGGCTGTCTCCTCATCCTCATCGTCATCACTGTCTGGGAGGCGATAGTCCTGGAGGGTCACTTGAAGAGGGGTGGACAGGAGCAGGAGGAGGAGGAGTGAGAGTGAGAGATTTCATTGAGTGGCTGTTCTCTTGCTTCCTGAAACTCATTCGATTCCCAGGAGCACTCCTGTCACAGCTGAGAAGCTTCTTCAGTCACTCTGGTCATCAGACCCTGTACCTCCTTACCCCACACCTGCAGGGCTCGGCCAGCACTTAAGGCGCCCTGAGTGCTGTGGAACAGTTACAGAACCTCAGCGTCTGAACAGACTGAAGGTCCTCCTGCCCCGATGGCTGCCACGGATCCCTCGCCCACTGCTTCGCCCCATACCTTTCCTGGGGCTCTGGGCAAATGGACCCTCAGAACCCAACTCAGCGCTGGCAGGGAGGCCGTGGCCTGGGGTGGGGAGGCCGTGGCCTGGGGTGGGGAGCGGCTGCTCCCCAGCATCTACCTGTATCAGGGTCCTGTCCCCGCAGCACAGCCAGCCGCTTGGCAAGGGCCAGGATCCTGTCCTGCCTGGTGTTCTCCTCCCGCAGCGCGATGGCCGCCTCGGCCAGCAGCCTGTTCTTCTCCTCCTCCAGGGACCGCCCAGCCTGCCTCTCAGAGTGAGTGCTCGGTCCTGGGCCCCCCCGGTTGAGGTCATTCTGGACAGAGACAGCTGGAAGGAGTAAGGCAGTCAGGGAGGCAGAGCTGTTCCAAAACCTCTCCTCCTGAGCCTGAGCCTATTTCACAACCTTTCATTCTTTTCAGATTTTTGCCATAAGGGCATGTGTGCTTGCCAGAGACAGAGAAAGAGAGAGAGAAAAATCATGCCCCAGGGAGGGCCACACCACAGTCCCTTTTCCTCCATTCTCCTCTCAGGATTTTGGGCACACACACATGCCCGGTGTGTTTTTCAAGCCACGAGTCCAGGACTTAAACCATAGAGTCAGCCATATGGGATCCAGCACCTTAACCACCATGCTACCTGCTGGCCTCACTCCCCTCATATTCTAACATGCTGCATTCAGGGTGAGTATCTCAGGGTTTGAGAATCACTTCCTTGAAGGACCCATATTTGAGGAGGTCAAGGTTCGACCAGTCTCTTTGCCTTCCAGGGCTGGAATTTACATTTCCTGGGGGCAGTATGGAAAGGGAAGCTGAGGTCTTGAATATCACCGGGCAGGAAGAATGTTAGCAGAGCAGGTGTGGCTCTGACATGGCCACCTTCAGCTCAGAGTTTCACAACAAGAGGTTTGAACTCACACAGCTTTGGGCTCTAGTCCCTGCTCTGTTGCTTCGGTTGTGTGACCCTGGCCAAATTCCTGAAGCTCACCAGGTCTCAGTTCGCTCATTTACAAATAAGGACGACAGTACATACCTCAAACGATTGCTGAGGATATTCAATGAGACTGAGTCTCTACACAGTTGGGTTTCTCAGTCCCGGTCCTATCGACACTCTGGACCAGCTATTCTGGGAGGCTATCTCATGTATTTTAGATGTGTTTAGCAGCAACCCTGTCTTCTACCCTCTAGATACCAGTAGTACCCCGAGTTGTGATAACCAAAAAGTCTCCCAACACTGCCGAAAAGCACCCTGGGGAGAAAAGTCAGCTGTGGTTGAGAACCGCTGCTCTGATGCCCTCGAACCTCACTGACAGAATTTCCAGCGCTGCCGGCAACATCCACATCATATTCTGCATCTGCGCTGTCCGAGGTGGTAGCTATAAACCCAGGTGACCAGTGAGCACGTGAAATGCAGCTGATTAGGCAACTGAACTCTGAATTTTATTTCGGTTTAATTCAACTGAAATTTAAACAGCTGCTACGTCCTATTGCCACCATCACTGCAGAGAACATTCTCTGAGCACTTACTGCGAGCCAGGTAGAGTCTCGAGCATTTACTGGATTTTATGATCTCATCCCTTCCTCATGACTTTCCCATGAGGTAGGTTTTACTGTGTGTATCTCTCTTTTACAGATGAGGAAAAGTGAGACTTAGGTCAGGTAATCTGCCCAGGGTCAAAGAGCTAGTGTGTGCTAGCACTAGTGTGCACTCACTCAATCACGAGGTTTGCTCTGCTGCCTCTGGAATAAGCACTCAATAAACGATACTCCTGTAGTGAACTCTCATAGTATTAATAATTCTCTGATTTGCATTTATCTCCCAGAGCACAGGCAGCAGAGCCTCTTCCACCTGGGAAAAGAGGTGGGGTTGGGCCCTGGGGGAGCCGGGTAGAGGGGTTACCTGGGCCTCCTTGTGGCCAGCTCTCGTCAATAGCCACCTCAGCGGCCAGCTGCGTCAGCAGATCCTGCGCCTCCTGGGCATGGGTCCTGGTGTCTGGTGGCTGGTGTGCCTGTGTGGAGGGAAGAACTTCAGTGGGGAGTGGAAGTAGGGGAAGACTACGGCTGACGGCCCAGACCAATGTAGGCCAGGGGTGGATGCTGATGAGTTCTCAAAGCCCAGGGAAGGGGGAGGAATCAAAGACCCACATAACCGAGTAGGCCTAGCAATCCCCAACACGACTGAGGGTACACTATTTCCTGCCCCACCCAAGCCTGCTGCTTGTTCCTGGTTCCTTGGCTGGAGGCAGGTCTGAGGATCAAGAGGCACAAGCGGGAGGTTCACCAACTTCTGCGGAGTGCATTAAAGTACATGTATCTGGGCTTCTGTCCCCTCCGAAGCTATAGCACTCACCGGCTGGGGGCTCTGAGAAGGTGGGACTCTGCCCTGCAATATGGCAAGCCGTTTCTCCATCTCCTGGGTGGAAGGGATGGAACCCCGAGGCTCATCCCTTAGCGCAGCCAGTCGTGCCTCTATCTCTGCCTGTGAGGGCACTGCCTCTGCAATTGGCACAGGGGAGCCTTGTAAGGGCCAGAGGAGTCCCAGTCCCAAAGGCCCTGAACTGTGTCCTTTTCGTCCCTCTGCCTGTCCGCACTCACTGGGCCTGTTCTCCTGGCGGAGGCGTGCTAGGCGCTCAGCGATGACCTGGTCTTGTTTGGTCAGTCCCTGGCTCCGGGGAGTGTTAGGCTTCTGTTTGGCTTCTAAGGCAGCCACTCGCCTGGTAGGATAAGAGAGAGGCTCTTGAAGAAGGCAGAAGGGAGAAGTGAAGGCACGCATGCGCAGTTTCCCATCTAAATCAATTCTGGGCATCTAGGGAAGTCTCCAATAGGCTTTGGTCTTTCATGGTCCTTGCTCAACTTGTTCTAAAGCCCAACCTGGCCAACCAGCCAGAGAGGCCAGTGAGAGAGAAAGATGTGCCAATGGTTTTTCTGGATAGGGCAGAAGAGCTGCCTCCTGAGCCCGAAAGGGGCAGTCAGGTACCTGGGAGGTGGGTATCCTCCTGACACTGTGCTTATCTGAGGCTCAGAGGTGCGCCTGCCCTGGTCCTTTCCCCGTCCCCATTTTTCTTTTTCTTCAGCACTTACTTCTTGTAGTTCTGAGGTGGTGACCATTTGGAGGCGTTGGCAGGAGCTGACCCTCTATAGACAAAAAAACACAGTGTCAGAAGTCCTGCCAGTCAGTGCCCTTGCCCCAAACACTTCTGGAACTGACCTCCAACCACAGAGCACAAGGCTTGGAAGTCTGGCCAGGAGCCCACCGCCATGGTTGGCTGAATACATGCCCCTCACCTGGTCAGGACCTCATGACACTGCTTGCAGACTTTCTGTGGGGTGTTCCCAGTATGAGGCACCACTGCACTGAAGCCAAGGCAGCCGGAACAGAAGGCCCGGCCACAGTTCTTACAGCCATACTACAAGAGACATGAAGCAGGAGTATCTACCTCTCACCTGCGCCTGCAGGCTTCTCCCTGTGACCCTCTGAGCCCACACAGAGAGAAGATACTGAAGTTGTGACCAGCTCACGGAGGAAGCAGCGCCCCTGAGGCCGAGGGAGAGGTACCGGCAATGGGTAAAACACTTCCTCCGGTTCCAGTCTCTTATTCAAATCAAAGGAAGCTTCATGCAAAATTCCCAAGCTTTTTGCCCTATCTTCAATTCAACACAGGAGTACAGAAGACAGAGGCCATTGACTTTGAACAAAGGAGACTCAGAGAGATTACAGAGCCCACGCTTTCTCTGCTCTAGCAGAGACCAGGGAGGCTTGGCTCAGGATGGGATGATAACAATAGTCTCCATTTACTAAGCACTTACTATGTACCAGGCACTAAGCTCAGTACTTTTTTAAAAAAAAATTATTTTATTTAACTTTATTTATTTTTAGTTTGACCAGAGAGGGACAGAGAGTGAGAGAGAGAAATTGAGAAAGCAAGCAGCCAGGTCCAGGACTGGAATTGCGGTTGGCCATATGGGAGTCCAGCTCCCTTAATCACCATACCACCTGCTGGCCCACTAAGCTCAGTACTTAATTAATATTCATCTTCTGATTTGATCCTCACAATTTATACACAGTACTTTACCTAACCCTTATGCCTGCCATTATACCTCCTATTTATTTATTATTTTTTTAGAGAAAATTTTGCTATAAGGTGCTCACCAGAGAGACAGAAAGTGAGAAATCATTCCCTGGGATGGCCATGCCACGATCCCTTCTCTGTACTCCTCTAGGCATCTTGGGCATGCACACACACCCGACATGAATTTCAAGCTGCCAGGTCTGGGACTCTAAACGCTGTTGACTATGTGGGAATTCAGCAACATAACCATTATGCATCCGCTGGTCCCTATAATTCCTATTTTAGAGAGGGTCAGAGGTTACATGACTTGCCCAAACCAAAGTTACCCTGGAATAAGGCAGAGCTCAAAATCGAATCTTGATTCCAAAACCTAGGTTTTTAAGTACTACACAGCCCTGCTATCCTATTTGCCATTAGTTCACCCCATTTGGTCCCATCATCTTATGGTCAGGTGCCCTGACCTCAATGCGGGCAAAGAAAGCCTGCAGTTGATCGCAGGGGAACTTGGCAGGTCTGTGCGGAGTCCAAGATCGGTTCCCTAGGGGTAGGAAGAAGTGTGGAAATACAACTCAGGAGACCTGGATAAAGGCAGGCTGTGGGATGGGAAAGGTTTCAGAGCAGGAAATAACGGCACGGTGTGGTGGACGGTGGTTACAGGATATTAAATGAGTCCGGGCTGCGGACGTGCAGGGGGTACAGAAGGCAACTACCTTTGGCCTACAGTAAAGCGTAACTTTTCAAAAATGAGAGCAGCGCGTTTCCGTTTCTAGGGAACTTTCACCTCCACACCTCACTGGACCCTCACATCAACCCCGAAGGCGAGGGAGTGTTAGTCCCATTTTACAGAAACGGGAGCTGAGGCTCAATGACTTCAAAACCACACAGCTGGAAAGAGACGGTAAAGCCCAATCTTCGGACTGGAAGTCCCGCGCTTTTCCCTCTCCTCCGCGTCCTCCCTGGCCCTCTAGCCCTTGGGGAGAAAAGACTCGCCTCCTTCTTGAAGAGGGTGAACTTCACAGCGCAGCCATAGCACCTACTCTCCATCGTGGCTCCTGTCAAAGCAGGGTCTGCAGAGCAGGGGTCGCGGGGACCGATCCAGCGCTCCCTTCGACCCTCACCCAGCCCCGCCCAGCTCCACACGCCCACCAGCGCCCGGCCGCAGCGGCCTGGGGCGGGGAACCCGGACGCGCCCCCTCACAGAGAGCGGCCGCAGAAGGAACAGGGGCTGCTGGGAGTCGTAGTTCTTTCACGACAGTTTCTCCACTTCCCACTCAGACAAGCCTGACCCAGAGTACTACAATTCCCAGGAGGCTAAGCGCCATGCGGCCGGCTGGGGCCACGCACGCTTAGACTCTTGGGAGTTGTAGTACGAGTCCAGTCAGGTCTGGAACCATGGCGGTGACCAAGGAGCTCTTAGACATGGATCTGTACGCGCTGTTAGGCATTGAGGAGAAGGCGGTGGACAAAGAGGTGAGGATGGTGGTGAGGAAAGCTGATCCTGAGCGGCCTGGCGGCCCTTCCTGTCCTGGCGCCTCGCCTCGCAGTAGGCACCGGCATTCCAGGTTCGGCCCGCCTGGCTGGGAGCTAGGGCGGCCCGACGGCCACGGAAGCTTCGCTGTTAGACTTTTTCGGACGATGTGAGAGCCATACGAGGAAGGGGGTCACGGAGTGCCCCTCGCATTGGGTGGCTGTTCTCTTCCTGTGGCTTCTGTCCAGGAGAGACCGCGGGGAACCTGGGAGAGAGAGCCCTCCTCTCTGCGCCTGCGCAGTCTCAGCCTCGGCGTCCCTGAAGGTGTTTTATTTCAGCTTTCTCCTGCAAGCTGATTAACTTTACTTAGAGCCTACGGCGGAAGGATGAACTCTTGGGGCTTCTTGACTGCTTCCTTAACACCACATTGGCGGTGTGACCTATGAGCTAGCTGTGTCTGTTTTTATTTTCATTTGGCTCTTTTCAAACAGCAGATGCTTAGCTCTTTCCTTTCCCAGCACGTTCTAGTTTTGGGCCCAAGCCAGGAGTTGAGTAAGTCAGGTGGCTTGACAGTCCACCTACATTAGTGCTGCTAAAGGGACCAGGGCGTGAAACTGTTCAAGCTGGACTTAAGATTTCCGTTATGGGGGCAGGGAGCAGTGGATGGCATAATGGTTGCGTGGCTGGCTTCCCACATGGCCGACCACTGTTAGAATCCTGGACCTGGTAGCTTCATAAATCACACTGGGCGCATGTGCATGCATACCCAAGATCCCAGGAGGAGAATGGAGGAAAAGGGATTGCTGCGTGGCCATCCCTGCAGGGGGATGATTTTTCACCTTCCCTCTCACCGACTTTGTCTCTCTTGCTCTCTGGGGAGCACACACGCTCTGAGGCAAAAGACCTCGACAAAAATAATAACAATAACAATAATAATAATAATAAATCTGTTATCAGGCCCACTTGTGGCATAGTGGTTAAGGAAGCTAGGTCCCAGGTGGCTGACTGAGCAACTTGGGTCCTGGACCCAGCAGCTTATAAATCACACCTAGTGCATGTGCAAGTGTGCCTAAACTCCTGAGAGGAAAATGGAGAAGGGATTGGCCCGTGGGCCCCAAGATGCTGGGATGGGGCAGTGATTTCTCACTTTCCCTCTATAGGGTGGGGCAGTGATTTCTCACTTTCCCTCTCTCTGCCTGTCTTTCCTGACACATGCCCTATGGTAAAAACCTAAAAACAAACAAACAAAAAACAAACAAAAACTTAAAAATCCCAGACGAAAAATAATGGATGTGGAATGGAAGGTTGGTCATTCCCCCAGGCCCAGAGGAATGCTTTCTCACTTTCTTTTTCTCCCTCTGTCTGGTGAGAACAGGCACCCTACAACAAATTTTAAAAAAACGTTTAATTTGTTCTTTTTCTTGCCATAGGGCACATGCACTAGCCAGAGAGAGACAGACAGACACAGAGAGAGGGGAAAGTGAGAAATCACAACCCCTTTACTCCCCAGGGAATGGCCAAGAATAATCCCTTCTCCTCCATTCTCTCAGGAGTTCGGACACACACACATGTGCCAGGTGTGTATTTCAAGTCACAGGATCCACAACTCAAACTGCTCAGTCAGTCATTTGGGATCCAGGCCATAGGCTGGCCTGGTGTTTAGCTTACTTCACTTAATGTTGTGGAGGTTCATCCATGTTGCAGCATGTGTCAGAATTTCACTTTTTAAAATTTTATTATTAACCATTCTTAAGTTTATTCATTTTTTTTCTTTTTTTTTTTTTTTTGTGAGAGGTTTTTGCTATAGGGCGCGTGCGCTCGCCAGACAGACAGAGAGAGACAGAGAGATAGAAAGCAGGAAATCACCCCCCAGGGGGGATGGCCACGCCACAATCCCTTCTCCTCCATTCTCCTCTCGGGATCTTGGGCACGTACGCACACGCGCCCGGCGTGAGTTTGAGCCACCGGGTCCGGGACTCGAACCGCGGTCGACTACGTGGGAGTCCAGCGACATAGCCATTACGCTAACTGCTGGTCCCAAGTTTATTCATTTCTTGACAGAAAGCAAGAGAGACAGGGACCCTCCAACAGTGTCTTGTCATACCATGATCCTCACCTTCAGCCTTCTAACCAGCCCATGAGTATGGGCATAATCGTGGGTGTGCCCAGCATAGAACTTAATTCCCATCTTTTTCCATTTAAAAACTTTTTTTAAATGTAATTTTAGGGGACCAGCAGTTAGCATAATGGCTATGTCGCTGACTACCATGTAGTTGACTGCAGTTCGTGTCCCAGACTCGGTGGCTTAAAACTCAGGCCGGGCGCGTGTGCGTGCATGCCCAAGATCCTGAGAGGAGAATGGAGGAGAAGGGATTGTGGCGTGGCCATCCTCCTGGGGGATGATTTCTTGCTTTCTGTCTCTGTCTGTCTGACGAGCGCACGTACCCTATAGCAAAAATCTCTCTCTAAAAAAAATAATTAATTAAAAAAATGTAATTTTAGTTTTTATCTTTATTACTATTATTTTTTTATTTGACCAGAGAGAAACACAGAGAGAGAAGAAAAGGGCAAACTACTCAATCTGGGATTCAAACTGCAGGTGGCCATGTGCCAGTCTAGCACCTTAACCTACCATGCCACCTGCTGGCCCCAAACTTAATTCCTCTTTAAGGTTGCATAATGTTTTATTTTATATATACACTGTATTTTGTTTATCCATTCATCTGTCAGTGGATGTTTGTTTCACTTTTTGGCTGTTATGAATGAAGCTAGTATAAATAATAAAGGTGTACAGATCTGTTTGAGTCCCCATTTCAAATTTTCTTTTTTTTTTTTTTTAATTTATGAATTTTTTTTTTTTTTTTTTTGGAGAGATTTTCGCTATAGGGCGCGTGCGCTCCCCAGACAGACAGAGAGAGACAGAGAGACAGAAAGCAAGAAATCACCCCCCAGGGGGGATGGTCACGCCACAATCCCTTCTCCTCCATTCTCCTCTCAGGATCTTGGGCACGCACGCACACACGCCTGGCATGAGTTTTAAGCCACCGGGTCCGGGACGCAAACCGCGGTCAACTACATGGGAGTCCAGCAACATAGCCATTACACTAACTGCTGGTTCCCTGGATCTGGGATTTGAACCACAGGCAGCCATGTTGGAATCCACTACCTTATCAAAATACCATCTGCTGGTCTACCACTTCAGATTCTTGTGGCTACATACCCAGAAGTAGAATTGCTGGGTGATCTGGTAATTTGTGTAATGTCATAGGAGTTGTCAGATTGTCTCTCACCAAGGCTGTGTCATTTAACCTTTCCACCAGTAATGCACAAGGGCTTCGATTTTTCCATATCCTCACCAGTCCTTGTTATTTTCTTTTTTGGATAATAACCATCCTAGTGGGTATGCTTTAGGACCCTTACACTTGCTAATCTTGCTAGAACATTCTTCCTTTGAGCATTTATACTATTACTTCCATACCTTATTCAGATTTCCATTCAGATATCACCCCCTTGGGGCTGGCAGGTGGCATGGTGGTTATGGCCTGGACTCTCACATGGTCAACCACTGTTTGAGATCTGGACCTGGTGGCTTGCTTCCTCATTTTTCCTTTCTCTCTCTGTTCAAATTAAAATAATAATAATAATAATAATGATGTTCTTTCTTTTTTAGAGAAAGATAAGGCATTCGCGCTTGCTGGAATAAGAGAGACAGAGAAACAGAAAGCAAGAAATCACCCCCTGGAGGGATGGCCACGCCACGATCCCCTCTCCTCTGGTCTCCTGTCATGATTTTGGGCACACGCCCACAAGCACCTGGTGTGAATTTCAAACCATCAGGTTCAGGACTTGAACTGCGGTTGGTCGTTTGAGAGTCCAGCGATGGAACCTTTATGCCATCTGCTATTCCCCTGTAGTGTATTTCTTTAATTTTTTTTTTTCTCTTGCTATAAGAAGAAAAGGACAGAAAGAGAGAAAACACCCCCCAGGGGGTTGGCCACACTACAATCCCTTCTCTTTCATTTTCCTTCTGGGACTTCAGGCATACACACACACACACGCACACACACACACACGCACACACACGCACTCACACACACGTGTCCTGTGTTTTTCTCAACCCACGAGGTCTGGGACTCAAACTGCATATTTGGCTGTGTGGAATCCAGCCATGGTAACCACCAGGCTCTGAAGCCAGCGAAAGGGCCCATCTTTATTTTATTTATTTATTTATTTATAGGCTTTTGCCATAGGATACATGTGCTTACTGGAGAGAGACAGAGGGAAAGTGAGAAATCACACCCCTAGGGAAATGGCCACACTGCAGTTTCTTCTCCTCCATTCTCCTGTCAGGATTTTAGGCATGCATACACATATGCCCAGCATGAGATTTAAGTCACTGGTTCCAGGATTTGAACATGGTAGTCCAGCAATGCAACCATTACACCATCTAATTATCCACTTACAGATTTTTAAACATGAATAAAAGATAAAAGACATTTCATGTGTGAAAAGGAAAATTTGCTAAAAATTAGCAATGATATAGGGATTTGTGCTTAAAATCACAGTTTACCTCTACATACAACATCTGTGTAAATTTTTAATATCAAAAGTAAGATTTCTGTAAAACACTTCTGAAATAAAGAGTCTAATAACTTATACTTTAGTTTACATGTAAATTCCTTATAAGTTAAAACATTTAAGACTATATAATTCTCCATTATTATTTTTTTTGAGAGTTTTTTTTTTTTTTCTATAGGGCGTGTGTGCTCGCCAGAGACAGAGAGATAGAAAAACACGGTCAGCTACATGAGAGTTCAGCGACATAGCCATTACATTAACTGCTGATCCCAAGGAGCCCAACATCTTAAAATATAGAGACTAAATGTTGCTAGTTCTCCTAGAAAGTTTGTTTCCTAATCAAATTGTGATTTTCTAGAAAGAACCTTAGTACAGAAAGTAGTACTCTTTATCACTAATTTTTTTCCTAAGAATTATTTACCTA